GTTAAAGAAGTAAATTTGAATTTTGCTTGAGACAGCAGGCTTGTAGCTCATATATCTTAGTTATACTGCTATTAGAAAAATAGGCAGTCTTAGATACCAGTTTACCTTGGTAGTTAAAAAAAATACAGCCCTCCTACTGAGCTACAGCTTATAACGATATTTTTTAATCATCCTGCTCATACAGTTTTCTCTGAGGCAATAGATGGAACTGAGTTGTGTGTTCACTGAGGAGGTGCTGTATTGCTGTTTGCTGAACAAGGGAGTTCCTGTGCAAGATGCAATTTGGAGAATATTATCCTAGATCACGCAGTGTAATGGATTCTGTGCATCCTTCCATTAAACAGGCATTAAGTCTTTCTCTCTATTATCAATGAAAAATCAATTGAAAGACTCATACGTGATCAGCAGATCAACAGTAACATAATTACACAAGTTGTATTAATGAAATCTTTCCTTTTTTTTTTTTTGCTTATTTGTTGCAATAAATCTAATCATAAATCATAATTATAAATAAAGCTTTGCCATAGTAAATCATGCTCAGAGGCGGAAGAGGAGCTGCGCTAATTTGCATCTTAACATTTGATTATCTCTGGGAGGGAAATTTGCCTCTTTTCCAGTGAATGGAGTGTTTGATATGCCTGGGTTAAAACACTGACATTGCATCTAGTTCCTGAGTGTGGTTTTTAGGCTGCTGGGTTTTTTATAGCAGTTTTTGTCTTCAAGAAACATAGCTGCAGTGTAAACGAAACAAGCTATGTGGCAGCTATACAAGTTAGAAAACATTTCCATAAATGATCATAAAAATTTTCCAGTAGTTTTTAGAAAGAGTGAACAGTTTACTGTTGTTTAGACACAGAAGCAAGCATTTTATTTAACTTTTCAGGGGTGTTTTATAATGAGAAGCTTGTAGAAAAATAGTATGTGTCTCCGTTCCCACTGCAATGCTAGCTGGACACTTTCTTTACTTTGTGCTTAGCTAAATATTTGTCTTGGAAGAAAGGAATTTAACAACGTACAAAAGATACCCTGTTTGAAAAGGTGCAAAGAATTACTGAAATAGGCTTTTTCTTTTCCATTTTCTTAATTGCCTTCTCAAAATGTACTTAAACTAATACAGAAAAGTGAATAAGAAGCCTTAAGAAATGCCAGGGAACGCATTCTGTTCATCTTGAAAGTTATATTAGCAAAAAAAATAATAATAACAAATAATAAATATAGTAGCTGTGGTGGTTATTTTTAAAGTTCTCAGCCTGTTGTTGTTGTTGTTGTTTTTTTACCCTTTCAGCTGATGACAGGGCTAATCTGATGATTTCATGGCCGGCTGCTGCTTCAGAGGAATCTGCCTCTATTTGATAATCATGTGTTACAGATCTATGATGGTGTTAATTTAAAAGCTGGGAACCAGCCCTTGTGCATCTGGCTGATTCATTCTTTTTGCTTGTGTGGGCCTCGAAACCATAGATTTTCTTTTTCTTGAAGTGGCTATGAGAGCCCAAGAATTCAGGCATCTAGTAGATTAAGCAGTTTATCCACAGCTGTATTGATTCAGTTCAGGCTAAAATTTTTGCTTCTAAATTTATTTTTACCAATTTTGATACAGAATTGTCTTATTTAAGTCCGTTATAAAAATCTTTATTGTAAGGCTGTTAAATTTTCTTCTGAGAAGACAAAGTTGCAGGATTATTTCTCACTCCGTAATGGATTTGAAGCTGTAATTCTGAAATGTAAGTTCTGTCCTCCAGTATTTTTTTTTATTATTTCCCCAGTCAAATTCTTGTTTGGAAAAACTGCATTTGGGTCAAGGACTTGAAGTTTAAACCCCCCATTTCTTACATAGGAGGTTTTGGAAACCCTCTTTCCCCATGTGGTCCGTGGGTGTCTCTGAGGCTGTGCTCTGTCACCATTCGTGTGGGTCACTGTCCAGAATGCCAAATAGCTCCTGTCCAAGAATGGTTTGCACCATCTGTTCTTATGAACCTGCTGCATTTCGTCTTATTTGCTATTCATGACCATATTTTCGGTAATTATTAAAATGTTACAGCATTTAGTTCATTGTTCAGGTTAATTTCAGTAAAGCTTCATAGTACTTTCTAACCTTATTGTCTAGTCTATTTGGCCTAGCCTGCTTTGATCTAAGGTTTTTTTTTTTTTTAAATTGCTTATTTTTTATTCTTGTCACTCCACAACATTAGAGTTAAAACTGATTATAATGGTGACTGTTTCTGATAGAGGGGATGATTTCAATTAATATATATCAGCCTGCACCAATGCACAACAGAAATGTGGCGGTGTCTCCCAGGACGAGGTGTTTGTTCATTTGGCCCCTGGAGCTCCCAAAATGGGGCAAAAAAACCCCAGAGTGTGAGATTTCCCCCCCAGGCGAGAAGATTAGCTTGGCACGTAGAGGTGACACCCCTATGGGATATGGGATCAGGATATGCCATGGGATACGGGATCAGTCTTGCCAATGAAAACTCCTGATATTGATTTTTGCTATTGTGAACCTGGCACTTTTGTTATAAACCGAGATGCAACCAAAGCCCCTTGTGTTTTCCAGACCCACTCAGAGGCTAGATTAAAAGGGGCTTCGAGCCTATATGTTTTGCTAATCCCTACTTTAATCAATATTAAAATTTCCTTACAAATAAGAGCAAACCTGCTTGCTGTCAAAATTAAAATTTTAGATTGATGCCTTTCTGTGATGTTTTCTTGCTGAATATTACAACCGATTTTAGTTACTGGTGATGACAGCTCAAAGCTGTTTCTTCCTAAAACGGTCATTGTGTTTTACTGGCAACTTTTGCTTTCGAAAAGTTAATGTCCTAAGAGGTGAAGCCCATTCTGGTTTAACATCCAAAGCATCTGACTATCCTCTCCCTCTTGTAAAGTGAAGTAGGTGATAATAATCTAATTTTATTGCAGGTTTTAGACGTGGACTTTTGCCCTTGCTCTAGCAGTTACCTTTGGGTTGAAACCAAATCTTCCTTTTATTTTTCGGCATTTTCACCCGTTGTTTTAACTTAATGATGTGTTCATCTCTTAGTTTTATTAGATATGTTTTGACTTTCCCCCCTTTCTTCAGTAAAGTCATGGATTCTTTATGGCAATTGTAATTGGTTTGCACAAAAGTAAAAGTGTTGTTGACTTCATATATATGATAGTTTATATAAAGTTACATTTTATGTGAATCAGTTTTGAATTAGAAGATCTTTCTAGGCAGCAGTATAGATAGCTGCAACTTTGTATACTCCCTGGAAAGCAGAAGTTTCAGATGCACTTAGGAAAAAATTCCCCTCCTCCCCCCAAACACACGCACAAAAAAAGGAATTGTACAGCGTGGCCTGGAGAATCCATAAAAGTATTTGAAAGGTGGTTGGCTCAGTTTTCTCACCCATAGGGTTTGACTTGCGCTATAAAGCTCCAGTTGCAGATTAAGAACTATTGGGGGTCTTCTGACATCAAAATTAATAACACATGTTTTGATTTTTTTTTCCTGGTGCCTGCACATTCTAAAATTATTGGCTGTAATGACTGATACGCTAGCAGTGTAGGAATTTATAAATCTCTTTTCTTTTTTAATGGAAATGTAATAATTTGAATATTGAATTACTTTTTCTCTCAAGTATCCCCCGTCACACACACCCACCGCTCTGTCCTCGTCCCTCGAATCAGTAAAGGTTCTAGAGGTGAACTGGGCTGTTGCAGCCATTGCATTTTTCCTGGCTTCTAATAAAGCTTGGAATAACTCCAGGTGCCCAGGACTCCGAGTAAACCAGAAATGCCTGATGGTGGGTGCCATGAGTATCGTTGTCTGTAGTAGCAGCCTACAGGAATTCCGTATTCATCCCCAAAACACGCGTCCAAATATTGACCATTCACGTGCAGAGCAGCCAGCTAGCTGTTTCTGTGTGTTCAAGAGAGGACTTGAATAAAATTGGTGTTGTGGAAAAATCTGAAATCTGACATCTGCCAAGCCTTCGTTTTTCAGCATCTACTCTATAACGTGTTTCAGGGCCTCTTAATTACAGCTAGGGTTCGTCGCATGCTTTATGCTATGCTGGCAATATTAATGTTAATTAATATTAATTTAATGTTTGCGATGCAGCCTCTGGTAGACGTATGGATTTTTATTTCTAAAAACTGCTTTAAAGCTCTTTTATTCAAATATACACTTTCTGTAGAAGAGAAAATTTTAGTTACACTGTACATAAAGCTTCGTCCTAATTCAACAGTTTACGACCCTGGATCTCCTTGTTGTTGCTTTCCTTAATATCTTAAGTGTGTTATATGTGGAATCCGCCAGGAAGGAGCTATTCCTGTCAAATAGGTAACTGATGATAAATAAAAAACTGTAATTGTTGATTAATCTCAGAGTCTTGAAAAAGCTTCAAATTAAAAGCTGCAGACTTTGCCTTTGATTTGATCCGTGGCCGGTGACTCTGAGTATGAGGTCGAGTTAGGAAAACGCTTGCACTTTCAGGAAGTTGGTTTCTTTGTGGTTTTGAATGCAAATACAACTTGATTTCTCCCAAGACATTTTTGGGTCCTAAAAGCCTTGCTTTGGTGATTGGGGTGGTCCTGGTGGAAGTGTGGGCCAGGCAGTTGCAGAGAAGGAAGAAGCAAATATGTAGGAATTAGTTTAGAATAAAGGAAACCAGAGCCACCCTTGCATTACAAAGTTATAATTCGCTCACGTTCTAGAAATCTTTTTCTATTTTGTATATAGATGAGTCTGAAGTGCTTGGAATGGTTTAGCATTTCATCTGTTGGTACTGGCTAGCAAGATGGGAAGTGGCAATTTATTTCTGCAAGCCTTATTTGAACTCTTTAAATTTGTTGGTATCTTTCAAATATCCAGTTTTGAAAAGTATGTGTTCATCTGTTACTATATCCTAAAGTATTAGTGTTGCTAATGTATTCTTGTTTTTTTGCTTTACTTTTGTGGACTCTCTTCTTGGGAATGATGTGAAAATTTGCTGTTTCTGATGAACCCGATGCAGTTCACACGATTCCTCTGTGATTCTCCACTTGAGGTACGTATGAATTGTAGGACTAAGTTGTGAGATGAATTCTTCTTTTTTCTCCCTCTGCAATTTCCTTGTCAATAAACCATTATGGGCATAGTTCATGTGTTGTGATATTTGTGTCATCACCAGGTGGTAAGGAAGGTGTGTGGTGTTATTGGAGAAGTCTGAGGAGGTGGATAATGAAATTGCACTGAATTTTGTATCACTACAGTAAAAACTAGTGGCAGAAACAAAGTGCTCTTTTGGGGGTGCTGTTTTGGGGGTTGGTTCTTCTTTTGTGAAAGAAAATAAAATATTTCTAGATATCTCTTTGAACTTGTATTTAACCATATTTTGAGCTAAGAGCTCAGGAGAGTTGATCTTGCTTCAATTCCAGTAAACAAACTGTAGGAGATTTGTGGCACTGTTTTTCTTGTTAGTCTTAAAGAGTTAACTACCGCGTGACTCTAATGAAATTGTCAGGTTATAGTAATTACACTAGTAATTTGATATGTTGCAGTTTGAATGAAGCCATGTGTGGAGAGTCTGTTGCTTTTCTCTGCTGAGTCCCTTGCCTTTACATTCCTGAAAGCTGAAGAGTAATAGAGCTCATTAGGCTTTATAGGAAAAGGGCTTTTATCACCTCGTCAACTCTAGCAGCAGATTTCCATTATATTCTTAATTTCGTATGGCTGCATAGATGTTGATGCACGCTTCCCTCCCAGGTTTATACCAGTATTGTTTCTTACAGACACTTTTTATTGACATTTTGAAGCTCGAATTAAATTTTGTGTGGCACCACTACAGATGTCTTCAATTAGAGGAAGTTAAATAAAAGGGTTATATATCAGAGGCCAAGGGATTCTTGAAATTCTTTATCCTAAAGCAGTTGCCACAAGCAAATCTAGTAGTGTGCTCTCTGTTTACTTTTGAGCAAAAATAATTTAAAATATTTTCAGATCAGGTTTAAAGCTTACATTATTTCAATTTGCATCAAAAAATGTGAATTACTACTTTCTTTCCTCCCCTCCTCCCCTTTTTTTAAAAAAATACTCATTTTAGTCTCAATTTTAGCTATTCGCTCTGTAACAAAGAATGACTAATTCTAAAAAATGATACAGAGAATAGTAGCAGGAAATTAGGAAATTTTCTAGTAGTAAACAGAATCCTGTAGAGTCTGAACTGTTTGCTTTTTGTTTACTTTTCCTTTCCCCCTAGATGGTACATTTAAATATTTGCCATTTTATCACCTTGCTTGGGAAGACAGGATTATAGTGGCTCAGGGTAGGAGAGTGGCTGGCACGAGACTGCTGGGGAGGCTGGGCACTGTGGTCCTGTTTGGTATAAGATGTGCTGAACTTAATCTAAATGAGTATAAATTGATATTATAGGCTTTATCACTACCTTTCCATAATGAATTAAATATGTATTATAACCTTTCAGCATTTTTCTTCCTGAAGTTGAGCACCATGGCTTCTTCAGGCCATGCGGAAGCTGTGCACATTTTCTGATCCTACTTTCAGCATTTTTATGTACTATTTTCTATTGCTACAGTATCATTTCTGCGATATGTTGATTAAAACTAGCCTCCAAATTTAGATGCATGATGGAATTGCAGTGCAGAATGATGACTTTTTTCTATATCCCTTTCTAATTGCTCTTCAGTCTTGCATTTTGACTGATGCTGAGCGTGAAGTTGATGTTTTCATAAAACTGCCCTCGGTATCTGAAAAAGAATTTTTTAGTGTGAAATGCTAATTTACACCCCTAGTTTTGAATGCAACACTTAGCAATGCTTTTCCCATTCACTTTGCGTTGGATTTATGAACATCTGATGCTGCTTCTGTCTTTAATTGCGAGTATCCCAGGTTGTTCCTGCAGTTCTTTGCACTCCATTCTTGTGTTATGATCTTGAATACTTTGAAATCCTCGGCATGATTTGCTGTAATGCTGTTGAGTCATCTTTGGTATGGAGAACAGAAGAGGCTGTGCGTTAAGCTCAGCGCTTTTCATAACGTAAATGATGATTTCTTCTTATTTTGGTTCTTCTTATTGAGATGACTGTGGAAAGTTAAAGACCCGAAAGGTGTTTGTGAATCTTCATGACCTCTCTTCAAAAGCACATTGACTTCTGCTCAGGTTTATTATGGTTATTAACATGGTGCTAGTTCTTGGGAGATCTAATAGCAGATGTTTATCTGGTATGGTTACAGATCTATAATTCTCTGGATTGCCTCCTAAAAAATGTCAAGTTTCAGTCATATTTTGTGTCCTTTAGGGACAAAAACAAGTGTAATTTATTTCCTTTTAAGATCCTGCTAAATTTCTTTGCTTTTTCGTGGGTATTTCTCTTGACTTTATGGCAATAAGCAGTCTCTTGCCCTTGTGCCTTTATAGCTTTCCTAATCCTTTTAGCATTTTAAACTTCCTATCACTATGCTGGTTAGCTGACAGTGCAGCTCTAATGGTGTAACTCTGTTTCCTGTTGAGGTGGCTCTGTAGAGCCAGTGTATTGCATTCTGATGCTCTTAATTTATTTACTTTAAAAAAAAAAAAAAAACCACAAAGAATTGCCACCTCTCTGCTGACACAGCTTATACTTTTAAGGTGCTTTTATAGCATCCCCGCTAATCTGTAATGAATGCAGGACATAGAGAAGAGGAAATAGGTTGCTAACCAAGAGAGATAGGAATCTACCGTACGGTAGGTTTTGTGTGTGTGCCCTTGGGAAAGGACCTGCTGGAATTAATCACTTCATTTCTTTAACAAGTAATTTCCAGTGGAGTGTAGAAGTGACAGGTTTCCTGTTTTTCCCTGTAAGGAATAGCATGGACTTCATCTCCTTCTCCCTTCGTCCGCAGCAGAGGGCAAAATGGAAGCGTTCAAAGTAGAAAGTTGACGTGATGTTGGCGTGAGACCTACCTGGGAAAAAGGGAATGGAGGAGTTGTCAGGGTCAGGAATCCTGTTGGGTAGGGGATTGCAGAGAGCTTTCTGGGATCACATGTCAGTCTGGCGTGGTGGTTAATTTTCATACGGGAAAACTTTCTTAAAAGTAACAGGAAAAACTCATGTGCTTTGAAGCAAAATTAGTATTACAGAAGCTTCATTTTGAACATAATTTAACACGGGGTGTATTTGATGACCATTTAAATGGAGTATACGAATCAGTAGCATGCAATGCATGTTGATACTAAGTATTTAAATGTCAATACTGCTTTATAAAATATGAGAAATAAAGTGTATCGATGGACTCCCTAGCTAGCTGGGTATAAATACAAGTAGAATTAATTTGCAATATAATGTATTTTTCTCTGAAGTTTAAGCCTTGTGGAGGAAATAACCTGTTTTCATAGTTTTGTCATGGATTTGGTTCTTACGATGTTCAAACAATCAAAATATCTGATTATCTTTGTACTGAAGTTTGAGTATAAATTGTTAATTTTAAGCGAATTGGCCCCTCTGCATCATTTTTTTTCTCCTACAGATCTGGAGCTGTTGCATGGTTGTTTGGCAGTACCATCCAGCCTGGAAGTAGGCAACAGAACCAGCTACATCCCTATTTGCTGCTGCTGAGGGCTCAAACCTTTTACTTTTAGGTCCTTTATGTAAATTGATGAAAATAGATAACTCTTTTTTTCTTTTTTTTTTCTTTTTTTTTTTTTCCCCTAATAAGGTTTAAAATTGAGGCAGAAGTAGCTATGCAAACTGCAGGTTTTTAATGGTGCCTCCTCACAACATACTTATTTGTGCTCTGGCTCTCTTATTTTTTGCTGTAGTGTTTACTCCCTTAACTTATTAAATAAATATATATAAATACATATAAATCTATTAACTTTTAAATTTCCCATTTTTATGTGATCTGTAGAGCACTTGATCTTTTTTGTTTATTTATTTAGTAAAAGAAAACCTGGAAGCACCAATAGTTGAATCTCGTTGCTTAGGGGAGTAGGAGAATAATGCTTTTAAACTCACTGACTTTCCACATTAATAATGCCTCTGATATTGCATTTGATGACTCATTAATCACAGAAATTGTGACATTTAGTGACCAAAACATCTCGTGTTTTTGTAGCACGAGGGCTGGGGTGTATTATTCTGGGGAGCCCTCCCTGCTGGGGCTTGCTCAGCTGGTGTCACTTACTGTAAGTTTTACACTGCCCTGACAAACGTGGTCCCAGGAGGACATGTCAGTAGTGTGAAATAATATAACCTGTTTCAAGAAAATGCTTTATATAATATAAAGCATTTTATATGTTTATTTACGTTTTATATATATTTTATATATTTTATATATATATTATTATATTATTATTATATATTAAATATATATGCCCAATTACATGTCAGATTGCTGGGATGATACATAAGAAATCACGTTAATGGGGCCAACTATTGGTTGGGATGTTGTGCATAATACCTATGCACATTACAAAGGATCACATTGTATAAAAACTTTTTAATGGGGAGAAAAAATGTTACTTTTTTCTTAAATGTGATTTATTAATGTAATGGGGATCTCAGAACATTTTGTCTGAAATCAGTGCTGTGCATATGTTCATTATAAAACATAGCCTCTTTTATGTATATAATATTTCATTGTAATTGAATTAGTGCAATAATGATGTAGTTTATACCCTACTGAAAGTTCCTACCTGATGGAGGTATTTCAGTTTGCAGATGTCTGCTGGCTGAATCCATGCAATGCCCGTTCACACACGGACACCTTCTTTTAGCTTTAGAAGACTGTGAAGTGTCTTGAGTGCATTTTTTGCCTGTTTTGTTATAGACAAATTTCTTTCAATACTCAGTAATTTCTCTACACTGCATTTTTGCCTCTACCAAACTATTTAACTGAGGGGCTATGTAGTTTTCTTGGATGTGCACAGCTTAGCCTCGTGGCCTTGTGTTTCAACCAAGTTGGAAACAATTCAGTTTACAAGAAATCCAAGTATTTGTTTTGCAATAGTGTAATACAGAAGTGTGCTAGATTCCATGTACTGAGTTGAAGTTCTCTAAAGGGCATGAACAGAGGCTTCTGCCTGTCACCTTGTGGATGCACAGCAGAGTATTTGCCCTGTTCTGATTCTTTTTCCTGAGCATTAAGGGCAGCTTTGGCTCCTGGAAGGAGCTCCTGGCTGAGTCACGCGTCCTTTTGCTTTTCTAAATGCTAAAATAAACCACCATTGAAAAACAAATCAGTTAATGTCACTTAGAAATCATAGGAAGGGGATTAAGTATAAGATGGAGGTCTTTGAGCATGCACGAAGGAAATTATTTATAAAGGGGAAATAAAATGGTTTTTATGTGATACTTGTTTAAGCAAATCTACTTTATGCTGAAAATTGCATTTCCTGTTGATTTACATAGGATATCTCTGCCATTTTTACTGTTGTTTTGGTAGCTGAGAAGCGAGCTTAACCTGTGCTGAGAAATCCTTAGAGAAAAATCAAGTTTCTAAAACTTTGACCAAGTCACTAGTAGGACCGTGTCTGTACTTGGAAATGTTTGTTCTGACCCTATGTTGTCTCTTTGCCTGTTCTGAAAATATATGTATGGTGTGGGCAAATATAGCTACTAAATCAGTAAATGGTCACATACATGAGGAGTAAGCCAGCTTAATATGCTAATATCCTAGTATAATATCCCCATAGGCTGTAGAATTCAGCTCTTGGATATTTGACCATTTCATTTTTCCCATTATCTGTAGCTATGTATCTAGAGTCATACTGTAAAATTTTGTATAAAACGGCAAATGTTTTATTATAGGGCCTTTATTTTAGAACTTATTGCTTGGATAAGTCAGTCAAAATGACTTTTGTTCCTGCGATTCATTTCTTTTGACACATGTGGTAACAATTAGAATAACTTCTCCTGACCATCATCTCGTCAGTCTACGCTACTGTATCAAAATACTCGATTAAACCCACCTTCTGTTGTTGTAATGCAAACCAGTTGGTAATAGCAGGTAATATTGCCAGATTTATTGAGTGAGAAGCAGCTTTCCGAAGATCTGGCCATAGAGTGAAAAACATGACTAGATGGATTATTAAATTGAGCACTGTGGAATTTAGGATTAACGTAAACTTGACATGAGAGAAAACGGTGTGCCAAAGTCACTCGTGTGGTACACGTCAATCACACATTGAAAACCTGAGGAATCCCATTGCTGTGGTTGCAAATCATAGAATCATAGAACCGTTAAGGTTGGAAGGGACCTCTAGAGATCATCTAGTCCAACCCCCTGCACACACAGGGTCACCTAGAGCACGTGGCACAGGGCTGCGTCCAAGCGGGTTTGAAGATCTCCAGAGAAGGAGACTCCACAACCTCTCTGGGCGGCCTGTTCCAGTGCTCTGGCACCATCACTGTTAAGAATTTTTTCCTTAAGTTCCTGTGGAACTTTTGGTGCTTCAGTTTGTAGCCGTTTCCTCTAGTTCTGTCGGTGGCCACCGGTGAAGAGAGGCCAGCACCATCCTCCTCACTGCCTCCCTTGAGGTACTTCTAGACACTGCTCAGGCCCCCTCTCAGCCTTCTCTTCTCCAGGCTGAACAGGCCCAGCTCCCTCAGCCTCTCCTTGGACCATCTTCCATATTACTCAGATTTTTGGAAATTTTTTTCCTTTATATGTACTGTGTATCAGAATATATCATATTTCTCCCAATATTTGCTTTCTTTTTCTTAAAAGTCCTCCCTAAAATCTTTTTCTAATACTGCAAGTCCACTTGTTGAATCACTGATCACTTTATGTCTTGTTTTGCTTAGGCAGAGAATCTCCCAGACGGACCCGACTGTGGCTACGGGTCTTTTCACCAGCAGTACTGGCTGGATGGGGAGAAAATTGCTGTAGGTGTCATTGACATCCTGCCCTGCTGCGTGTCCTCCGTGTATCTCTACTACGATCCAGACTACTCTTTCCTATCTTTGGGAGTCTATTCCGCGTTACGGTAAGAAGACACGTTCTGCGGTCAAACATTATAGTAGTAATTGATGCTTTTTCCTATAAATTGCGGTTTTGGTTTTATTTCCACTACTGGAAACACTAGGAAAGGAGCAGGTACAAGAACAGTGATGAGACCAAGTGGCCGTGACTGGGTGTTATCAGTATTAATGTAACTGATGGTATAGTTTGAAATCCCATTACTTACAAATGACTTTTTTTCTTTTTTTTTTTTTTTAAGAATTTGTCAGAATACTCGAAATTTGTCTTTTTTTGGTGCACATTCACAATAAAATTCTAAATCTTCCTGAGAGCTGCTTTTTAGTGTTCGTATGTATCACATTACTTTGTGGAATAAAGACTGACACAATCCATGCTTATGGATTCTTTAAATGATTTTAAATTTTCTGCATAGTAAATTTTGAACTTTATGTCAATGCAGAATTCTTGCATGGCTCAACTAGCAGTCAAAGGCAGCTTATAAATTCTGCTGCATTTAAGGCAATAAAAATGTTTTCCCAACAGAAACAGTCTTAGAGGGGGCCAATTTTTTTTCCCCTTTCAAAAAGGGAGCGGGGGGGAAAATCTGAGAGTTGGGGTGGATTTTGGGAGTTGTAAAGGAATCTGATACCTTACAAACTGTTGCCTCAGTTCAGACCGAGTTTTACCCAGTTTTACTGAGGAGATTGAACTGCATTGCAGTCCTGTCACTTCCATTTCATGCGATTTTGAGAGTTTTTGATGCTGATTCATAGAAAGAATGAGATGTGGTGGTCATTTGAAATACATCGGAATGCAAGTAAGAAATGGCAGGAGAATGCCCTGCTTGGAAAACACCCGTCTTACCAAAGGACAAAAAGCTGCCCAAGGAGCCCGGAGTGAGACGGGTCCTTCCCTGGATGCTGCGGTACCCGGGAGGGCACCCGCAGCCTCTCAGCCAAGCGCTCTGGTATCGTGTGG